GAGAAGAGAGAAGCAGACGCCCCGACAACAAACCCAAACAAACCGGAGGAGGGAATTGCACTGCAGCGGAGCGGAGGGGTGGGGAAGCTGGAAGGAGGGAGGGAGGGAGGTAGCCTGCCTGCCTGCCTGCCTGCCGGGGCTCATCCTACTCAAACCCGGAGCGGATCTCGGCACGCGGCGCGGAGGAGAAGGAGCAGCAGCGGGAGCAGGATTTGTCGCCGGCCAGAAGGGATGCCCCCGTGGGAGGGCTGCGAATGACAAGACCCGGAGCGCGAGGGGGGGGAAGAGTCTGAGAGACCCTGGCAGCTTGCCAGGACGATGAGGTCTGCACCGAGGGGCTCCCGAGGTTGCGGCAACGCCACAAAAGGGGATCTGCCGGCGGCGGAGCCGTGATCGCGCTCTCGCTCTCTCTCTCTCTCTCTCTCTCGATTTTATTCCCCCTCCTTTTCCCTCCCACTTCCCCCCCCTCCTTTTCCTTCCCTGATCCGGCTCGTCTGCATGGGAACAGCCATCCTTCGCCCCCCTGTCATCTCGGAGGAATTGCGTCCCTCAAGGTTTCGGCGCGGCTGTTGCTGGCTGCCGTTGCCTCTCCTGAAGGGCCACCGCACCACCCCTGGGAGCCTCGGCGCCCCTATCTAGCCACCCACTCACCCACCCACCCCCGCTGCGGCCGCCGCCGCCTCCGGTTCCGGTGGCAGGTGGTTCCTCGGAAGATGCTCACCTTCACGCTGGCAGCTGGTCTGCAGAGGAGCAGCAGCAGCAGCAGGTAAGGTCTCCCGCCTCCGTCGACGAGCCGGCGGTGCCCCGGCAAAGGGGCAGATGCCCAGGTTCCTGCCTCGTTCCTCCGCAGCTGCTGCCCTTTGTGCATGGACAGAGCCGGGGGGGCGTTAGGGCTCCGGCTGGCGGCTGGCATCCTCAGCCATCCAAAGGGGGCGGCGGCGGCGGTGGCAGCGAAAGAGGAAGGGACCGTCTGGCAGATGCTGGCTAGCGGTGTGGGCGCCGCCGTCCCTTTTCCGCGGCACTCATGAGCAGAGGCGCGACCTTGCAGCGCCGGACCACCTACCTGATCTCCCTAACCCTTGTCAAGCTCGAATCGGTCCAGCAGCTGCAACAGCACCAAGGGGGGCCCCAGCCGCAGCAAGAAGAGGAGAAGGCAGGGGGGGCCGGCGATGGAGCCACCCAGCTTCCTGATCACCGAGAAGGGGGCCGCCAGGCCGCCTCCAGCCCTTCACCTCCGCCCCAGCCGCCGGCGACAGACCCCTCCTCCGGGCTGAAGGGCCACAGGGAGGCCGAGGAGGCCGCCTCCGCCAAGATCAAGAGACAAGAGCGGGTCTTCCACCGCCAGGATGCCCTCTGGATCAGTACCAGCAGTGCCAGCACGCCAGACTACCTGCTGCCCCTGTCGCCGGGCAGTCCTGGGACGCCCAGCCTGTCCCCGTCTCCAGATGGTGGTGGGCGAGCTGGCTCCCTGTGGATGTCGCCCGCGGGCCAAGCCGGTCCTTGGGACTCAAAGGCCGGGCCTGCAGCGGCCCTGAAAGCCAAAACTCCTGGGAGCCCAGACACGCCACCCGCCATTGCGCCAAAGCCTGAAGGGTTGGGGCCTTCAGGGGCTCCGGCTGTGCCCCCCAAACCGGAGCCGCTGCTGCTGCTGCCTGTCGCCCCGGCGGGGCCCCTCAAGTCCGAGGCCTCCAGATCTGAGCCTCCAGCCGCACTCTTTGTGGCCCCGCCTCTGCCTCCCAAACCTGAACCGGCAGTGCCCCTCAAGCCTGAGCTGATGGCCCCCAGTGCAGCCCCAGCACTGGCTCCCAAACCTGAGCCGACAATCCCCTCTATTGCACCAACGATCCCCCCAAAACCCGAGATGCCCCTGGCCTCCATCTTCTCGCCAACTGCTCTCAAACCAGAGGTGGCTTCTGCCCTCGCAGCCGCTGGGGGGCCTAAGGCTGAAGTAACGGTCATGCCAGCAGCTCCAGCGGTCGCCCCCAAGCCCAAAGCGATTATGGTTCCCGTCCTTCCTCCTGTGCCACCTCCCAAGCCGGAGGTAGCTCCGATCCCCCTCAAGGCAGGACTGAAAGAAATTTTGGATGTACCTGGAGAGGAGTCACGGATTCCTACCACTGCCAGCTGCTCCTCCAGTGCGGCGGCTCCGGGACGCCGGATGTTGGTCAGTCACGCCAGCTGGGGTGGCCCTGAGCCTGGGACCCTGGAAATGAGCGTAAGCCGAGTGGGGGGCTCCTCTTTTTCCCACTCGGGAGCCTCTTCTCCACACCCGGCAGCGGGCAATCGCCGCCTCCGTTTGGCCACCAACAAGCCTTTCAAGACGGTGACCACCAGTGGGGCCAAGGTGGGGGCTGAGCCAAAGACCACAAAAGGGGGCCACAAGGGGGGTACCCCTAACCGCCTGTCCTGGCCAGAGAGTGAAGTCAAGGGCCGCATGAAGGTGTCCGTCAAAGGCAGTGGTGAAACGGTGCCCAGAGGGGGCTCCAGGGCCAAACTGTCCCCTCACAAAAACAAAAGCAAGACTCTGGACAACAGTGATCTCAACCACGGCCCAGCCAATCTGGCCTCTTCTGGCTCCTGCTCTTCAGAGGCTGCGGTAGGGCTGAAGAGAGGCCGCGAGGGTGGCCGGGCCTCTACCCGTGACCGTAAAATGCTCAAATTCATCAGCGGCATCTTCACCAAGAGTCCAGCTTCCACCCCCACCCATCCTGGGCCTGGATGGAGCCTTAGCCACAAAGAGCTGCTCAGCGTGGAACTAGCCAAGGGAGAGTTGCCTAGTAAGTATGGTGACCTAAAAGGGCCTCCTCTCTCTCCTGTCTCTCTCTCTTCTGTGTGTGTGTGTGTGCGTGTGTGTGAGTGAGTGAATGAGCAAGCAAGCAAGCAAAGGATGGTTGGGGCTCAAATCTGGAGGCTCAAGGTGTGGATATTAAAGGTGGAAGATGGGAGTGAAGGGGTGGGGTTTGAAGACCGGAGGTTTATGGTCAGTTGTATTTGGAAGATATTGGACACAAGACTCTCATAATGGAAATGTGGTTGTGATATATGGCATAAGCAGAAATGTCTGAGGATAATTAGTATGACCTGTTACTAATTCTTTTATGTAGCCTCTGGTCAGCTTCTGCTCTTATCAGCACCTCCATCACACAGAAGATTTGTTATGTTTTCGGGAAGAGGCTTTGAAGCTGTCGGTGGGTGCACCTTGTGAGAGAAACCTGCAGTTTCCCTGAAAAGCAGCTTTCAGACTGCCTAGCCTTGTTGCCAAGGTGATGGTGGATGATGGCCACCAATGAGTATGTGTAATCAAACTGCAAAGGTGTCGGCAGAGGTGAGGAGGGGGGCTTCTGGTCCCAAATGTGTATCACTGCAGTGGAAGCAGTTTTGAGGAGGAGGGTATGTGATGGATTTGGATGGCCTCAGTGTCTTTCATGGAAGATGGGGATAATAATGTTATTATTGCCATAAAGGGGTTCTTGAATGATGATTAAGGGGACTTTCTCCAGCAGGGTTTTCCACGTGGAGCTGATCTGTGCTCAACAGGCCAGATGTTATAAGGGTCAAGTTAGGCTGCTTCTCAGTCTTGAAGTGTGCTTGGAAGTGGAGTGTGTGGGTGTGTGTTTGTGTTTAAAGAAGCAGGTCTGTATCATGTCAGAAACTAAACCCCAGGGCTCTGGTTAGTCAAGACAGGGTTAGTTACTAGTGACTTTTCAAAAACGAGAACACCCTGTTTTTTCTCTTCTTACGGATTTTGTGGTAAAAGCTCTGTAGGATGCAATGGTAGTGGTGGTGTTGAGGAAGAAGAGAAAGGGTGTGAATTAGGTTGCCTAGGAGATACTCTGCTCTTTAGAGAAGTGTTGGTTCCAAGGTTAGACTTATTAAGAGTGCCGTCTCAGCATCCTTTATGACATCAAACCGATATGGACCGTGTCAAGGAAGAGGCAGCAAGTGCTAAAACGTTAGGAAGCAGAATCTGTCTCTGCAGCAAATGGTCCTCTAGTTCGCAGTGCTGAGCAAGAGCTTGGCTGGTTTTACAGCTTGCTTCCTGAGGACTGCATGGGAGGCAGGTGGGCTGGTACAAGCAAGGAGCGTGTGCGGGAGCATTGCTGAATGGACCCTGGGCGTTTTAGAGAAGAAATGATTAAGCGAAGAGGCTGGCAAGTGTATCTGTCAGTGAACGCAGACACTGTGCCACTTTTTTATTCTCTCTCTTTTTTTTAACAAGGCAAGAATAGACATCCAAGTGAATCCATTCTGCAGTAGGCATGTGAAATAATGGAAGTTTTTGAAAAGTATCCAGCCACCAAACATTATATATTATAACAGTGACATACCGCTATGGCTTGAAACTTGCAGTAGATTTTCATTTATATATGTACACAGAAATTGGAGTACCTGATGGCAGAATTTGAGAGTCTTGCTTCTCTGTCATGTATTTTTTTTTAAAAAAATCACATTTCTAGACCTTATACTTGTGTAGAAAAGTGACTTTCATTACATTTGTTTTTGTATTTGCAAAAAGGTCTGTTTACTAAAGGTATTCTCTTCGACAAGTTTTTTATTCCTTGACTTCTCCCATGCCCTGTAGCTGCAATTGGCCTCCTACTAAGCTTCCAAATTCTTTAGAGATGGATCCATAGCTCAGCTGTGCGGAGCACATGGTTTGCTCATAGAAGGCTCTAAATCCTGTTCCTGGCATCTTCTACCTTGTAATAATCGGGGAGCAAGTGGCAGGAAAGACCATTGCTAGAATTCCTTGAGACTTGCTGCCCTTTAGAATAGACAATGTCAGGCTGATATGGGCTGGCATAAGAGAGGTGAGCCCCACTTTTCTTTGGAGCATCTTGTCAAGACTGAAATGTGACTATCAAATAAGAAAATTAACAAAAGTTTGCACAGCATAAGCCTATATGGATAAATCAACATGTCACTAATTTGTCATTTCTGTTGCTGTAAGCTTTAATCTTAAGAAAGGTTCTGGGGAAATAACCAAATTAACAAAAAAAGGGGGGGAATGGGTTTCCACAAACCTACAATTAAAAGTTATGATTAGTCAAGTGAGCCTGTTTCCCCAGTTCTCTTAGACGTTGGCACCCATTGTTGAAGAACACCATCATTTGAACATTTCTTGGTGACTTTTAGAGGCATCATATGCTTGGCACTTTCAGAAGAACAGACTGTGGTGCTTATTGTCTCATCAGCATATCTGAAAGTCTTGTTCTCCTTCTGTTTTTGTTGTGTTTCTACATCCTGGGAGGGTAGCAAGACCTTCTGCCCAGAGGGCTCGGTTCTCCTGATTGCTCTCTGAAGTGGAGAGGTTAATTGCTGTGGAAAGTTAGATTAAAGGGTGTACTTTGGAAATCAAAAATTACTGCGCCCCTCTCTTGGCTCACTGAAGGCAAGCCTGTCTTCCTCCTGTGCTCTTAGCATGAGATACTCCTGCAGATCTATGAGGTAGTGGGAAGAGCTGATTCACCTCCTATATAGGGTCATATTTCTATGTTCATTTCTCCTTGGCAACAGAGGGCTTCTGGTAATTAGAGAATGGTGAAAGATGGGGGTGGGTGTGATAAATTGACCTTCATCCTGGGAGATCTTTTAGCAGATGAGAGTTTGGCTTGTTCCTTTGTAGGCGTATGTCTTCATCAGAAAATTTAAACAAGGCTAATAATCACCGCACATCTCCCAAGGAACCTCATGATCTCTACTCCAAAGGAGGGAGGAGAAGGAAACCCCTTAAAACAGAATTTTTAGAACTTCTCAACAATCTGCAATCCCCAGGATTCTTTGGCAGAAGCTAGATTTGCAAGATAGATCATCTACCCTAAGTGATCAGTGGATTCCAAAAGGAGACAGGGACGTTTTATGTTGGGAATTCTCATGTTTGTAGTGTCAACAAGAAGGTCGATACGAGCGGCAAGATTTTGACTTTTTTACTTTTATAAAAAGATTCAACAGGGTGTTTCACACTGATTTTTCTTTAAAATCTTGCAATGCACACATGATGCAGGGTGCACTAGACTAGAACACAATAAACCTAATCCTGGCAAGGGCCAGTATCCTCTTTCTCCTGTTGAAGGAGAGTGAAATTTCCCTCTTTCTTAAAATTTCCTGTTTCTTAAACCTTGTGCTTCAAGTGCCGTGCTCAAGTGATCAGTGAGAAAAACCCACTGTGTGCTTCCAGAGAACTGTAGCCTTATATCAAGCTTGTGCCACTGTTTTATTTTTAATTTGTTTATTAAAAGTCATGTATCACCCTTTAGAAAGCTCTCTGAGCGACTGACAGACAGTAGACATGATTGGTTTGTGGCCCACTAAACTCAGTGAAGCCCAGCAGCCAAGAATGATGGACTGTCATGGCTGGAGAGACTGCTACCACTGCTACTTTGGCTGCAAGAGGGGAAAAGCAGGAGGAGAGTGATGCCCCTAGTACCCTGTGGGCTACTAATTTGGCATGCTTATGTGAGATGTTTTTTTTAAGCCGATCAAGCTGCTTTTAGACTGTTCCCCCCCCCCTTAAAAGAAGTACAGTAAGCTACACATTCATTCTTGACAATATATGTTTTTCATATACAGTTTTGCACACACTTTACAAGGATGTGACCAAAAAAAAATTAAGCATTAATCATTATGCTATGGAACACCTAAAGTACGACAGCCAGAATCATCCAGGAACTGCACAGGCAGCTCCTGAGAAATTTAAAGAAATGTCCAACCTTAATATCCAGAAAAGCTTTGGTATCCAGATGCATGCTGTTTTAGGAAGCGAGCCACAATCTTTTTCCAGCTGCTTCTTAAATCTGTCACAGTCTGAGGAATGTTCCTCCTGCCAGAGCAGCCCATTCTTTCTATAGCTTTCTTGCTTCTGTGCCCAGACAGCCTCCCTCCCTAGGATTAATGGAACCTCTTACAGCTGCTGACAATGAACGGGAAGTAGCATATCTTATATAAGGAGCACAGAGCCATTTACAAGTATGGAGTATGAGGGGTGTTTAATCCTAGTGTTTGCCATCTTCCTGGGTGCACTGACAAACAGAGGGAGAGGCTCAAACTGCAATCTCAGCCCCTGCTCTGAGTGTCTTGCTTAGAAAGTGATGGGAAGCAACAGGGGTAGAATGGAACAATCCCAGTCCCAGTGGACCCGTATAATTGCGCACACTGAGAATGTAGCTGTGTATGTTGTCTTAACCCCTGATCTGTTTGTAAAAGCAACAAAAAGGTCTTTAAAGATATAAAGTCTCATGGTACATTAGTTCACAGGCTAGATGAGGGACGTGGAACCTGATGATTCCAGGTCTCTAAATTACAACTCCTATGACTCCAGCAAATGGTTGGGTGGAGCTAATGGGAGTTGTAATCCAGCTACATACATATAGAGGGCCACAAGGTGTTCACTCCTAAACTAGAACCTGCTTCATCAAATACATACATAAAACATATCAGTCTTTTAAGATGGTACAGGATTGTTGGTTTCACTGTTGACTGCCAACATGTCTTCTCTAATGTTTTGGTGGCTCCAAACAAATGTCATGACCTGCAGCGCGAATACTTTTTTTGTACCATGGTGAGGGCATTTCAGACTTCTCGGCAAACAGCTTCATTAGACAGCTGTTGAAGAAGCAAGTTCCAAGGACTTGGGCAAACCCGCAAAGGTCAGGTGTTGGCTTTTATTTAAAGAATTGTTCTTCTGTTAGAAACATGCTGCAGACTTACAGGTATCACAAGATTAACAGTCTTACCATAGTATGGCCTTCTTTTCTGTGTGTCCCCTGGAAGTTTCCAG